ATAGTTCTAAACCAGACTTTTCAACGTTCAAACCGGGCAACTGAACCCTCTACTTTTCCGGTTTTGGTGAATGTCAGTAGTTTTCTGGTAAGTTTACTGGCTTGCATATTGCTCAAGCCACTGTACTGCCGAGAACATTCAGTCGCTACGGTGAATTTGGAGTGAATCGAGTCCCAAAGCGAGACTGATCAACATCTTATTGTTCATTGCTCACCTATTTGTGGAATTGAATCACCGAAAAGGGCGAACGTGGCCTACTTATAGATAAAAGGTTATGAATCTTCTTCAGAAACCTTCAGAAGAGAAAGACGACACTCTCCTCTTTAGAAAACTTCGAATTTAATTTGCCTTTTATTAAAATTTGCCACTCAAAATTAACAGTTTTGAATAGTCAAACAGCACTAGAATAATCTTCAACTGATATCTTCCTTGTGCTCCACCCAAGTTCAATCAATAGTGATTGTATTCCAATGAAGGTAATAGCGTTTGATTACTCTTCGGAAAAGTCCTTCCCATAGAAGGTGTCCCGAATGTGATCACAGTACGAGACGAGCCGTGGGTACTGCTCTTGAAGCACCTCTTTGGCATAAGTATCCGAAGGACCGTATAGGATCGAAGCCAATAGTGAGAACACTGTGCAGTCGGCCTGAAATTCATCGAGATTTAATTGACCTCAGAGGCACAGCTCACAATAATTTTGTGCTATCCAGATTACGACGAAAAATGGCAGATAAGGTGGAAAATAGAGCGATGAAAGCGAAGAATCTGCGTGAATCGGTGTTTCCAAAGTAAAAAAAAACATTCGAAAAATCATTAAAGAGGGGGCTGGACGAGAATGAGACCAGAAAAATGAAGAAGAATGGGGGGTCTGGACGAGCTATACAATGTGGCGGTACAATGTGTGCCAGTGCGTACGCGTGGGTCCTGGTGCGAATCGCTGATTACGGTGAGCAAAAATTCATTCACTTATAAGCATAGGTTAACAAAAAACCCTAGTAACATTGGAAATAGCCCACCTTTCTCAGCCTCCTCTTGGGGTAGAAACCAAAATTAGGGATCGCAACAGCAAAAAGAGTAACAGAGAACAAAAGAGTAGGAGGAAAACATCGCCGCATCACTAGGCGATCAGCTGAATGTGTGTGGGTCCTAGAGCGAAAATTTGCAATCTGTATCGCCTCGACACTTGTCTGCCATGACATTGGTCGAGGGGCGCGAAGACCGCGCGAGTCACGACAGGTCTTCCACTAGGCCCTAGTTTTTGGAAGGGAGAGGGTCCTTTCCATTATCCTTGGGAGAGGGTCCTTTCCATTATCACTTAGTATTCCTAGGGAAAGAACTCGTAACCATCTTTATCGTAAACCGTGTCTATAAACGAGCCTTTACTATCATTAACTCTCCTACTGTGAAGCAGTTTGGGAGTCAAGAAAGGTTCAGCGAAGTGAAGTCTCAATACTAGCAGTTTTGCTCTCAAAAATGAATTCCTCAAAATGAAAATGAGTCAGTTATTAGCACGTAGAGAACAAACCTAAAGACTCTACATCTTCGGAAAGCGGTGGTGTAGTGGCTTTTGGCACGCTATCACACACGCACGGTCCAGGGTTCGGATCCCGGCTCCATACTCGCATGTGCTTCCCAAGTAAAGGTAGTACTTTTGTGTAGGGTCTTCTCTGAGCGAGTTCACGGAAAGGTCAGTCCGTCACCTCCCTTGTCAGCGGCGCCCCAGTTTCCTGATGGCCGCGTCATGCACTTGTGCTGTTAAACCCCCTATGATTATTTCAAACTTGCATCGACTTGCACCTATGACCAAATAGGAGTTGCTAACGGTCAAGAGGAATTTTATCGGGACTGTAACATTGTTTGATCCCCTTCTCCCTACTGATTGGAATTGAGTGGTTAACTCATTGGCGACCGCGCCTTTTTAAGGTGTCTGGCGTGTGGGACCGAGCGCGCTTTTCGCGGGCTGCTGCAGTGGCCCGCTGGCGGGCCACACGGTCCTAGGAACAAGTAAATTTTTTCGTAAGCATTTCCAGCCGACAAAAAAGTTTTCTAAAATGTGGCATGTAAAGGTTATAAGTCATACAAATTATTTAGAGCTACGTTATGGCATCTAATGTTGATTGTTTAAAGAGAGTGAGAGTTTTTACCAAATCATTTCCTAATGCGACTCTGTCTAGACACGAGAAAGCAGTCAAGATGAGAATGACATGTTTCGAATCATCGAATATCTCAGCAAAGTCCCTTTACATCCTTTTTACATAAATT